GAGGGTCTTGTGCTTGAGCGTATCCAGGTTTGATGATCCGCATTACTTCGTCGTCCAGTTCCCTTGTAAGTACTTCTTCTTCTAAACAGTCCACATTGTTGACTTCTCGGCCAATGCTTTGTTCCATCTCGAATACTGCCCATTTGTCTTTCAGTGCTCTTAGGGCTACCTCTTCTTTCGTTTTGTCCTTGCATTCTTTATTAAAAGCCATTAATCTGGCTTTGAAGGCCTGAATATCGGCCATTTGCTTTTGTAACATAGAATCCATTCAAAACTCCTTGATTATTCTTTTGCCAATTACTGGCTCCTCTAGGACCACTATATTTGGCCTCATCTGTCTGAACATTTCAGTGAGTGCGTCCACTGAAAATGGCTCTTCGCTTTGCGCGACAACTTGAGTTTCTTCCCCATCTTGTACTACCCTGACAGGTCCATAGTTTCCTTCGTACATGAACTTTTCCACCGAGTTTGCTTATGCGACAAAAGGCCTATGATCGGCCTGTACCACCTCTGCTTCGCCCTTGTTATTCCAAAAAATCAGGCATTGATGGAGCGATAAGGGTATACAGCGACTTCCGTGTATCCAATCTCTTCCTAGTAACACATTGTAACTAATAGGACCATCTATTACAAAGAAAACTGTGGTCCTAGTAGCTGTCCCTATAGTTATGTCCAATGGCATAACTCCCTTAGCTGAAGTTGCTCCTCCATTGAAACTCGTAAGGATGACTTCTGTTGGAATCATGTCACCCTCTGTCTTTGCAAATTTCCTCATCATTCTAGATGGAATGGTGTTTATAGCTGCTCTATTGTTGACAAGCACTTTTGCCACAAGGATGTCGTTAACTAGAGCTTTAACGTACAATAGCCACAAGTGTTTAGTCAATTTCATGGCTGGCCGTTTAAAAATAACCTTTTCGACAGCCTCTATTTCTACTTCTTGCTTGTTTTCTGTCGAATTATCCCCCTATGATAAATCGACGTGCAGCATATCGTGCTAAGCCTCTGTCTCCTGAATTTCTCCCTTACTGTTTTCTAATGCTTCCTCATCAGTTACCCAACCTGTGGGAGGGAGAATTATTCTTGGAGGTGACCCATACTTTTCAGAGCGATGCACTCTCCTTTTCCTTTTGGACGTCCTGTACAGTACGTAGAAATTGAAAGGACGTCCAGATGGTTCTCCCAACAAGTCTACTTCGCGAACTCCCTCTCGATGTAGTTGTTTCAAAAGAGTATTGTGCGATACTCCTCTCCTTCTTCTTTCTGCTTCTAGGTCGATTTCTTCTTCGATGTCTTTCATCCCGTCGTCTTCTTCATCATTGTAGGCCTCTCCAGAAGTTTGGCCTTCTTCACATTCCAGCACGCAAGCCTCTCCTTCGTTGTCCTCCCTTTCTTCTTCTTCTTTTTCTTTATTCTTGAATTCATTGGCCAGTAAGTAATTATTAGCCACGACAGGAGGTAACGTACCGAACTGGATAGTAAGGGGATGATTTGGATCTTCTCAATCCCTTCTGTCTCGCTCAAACTTTGATCTCCCAGAAGAAGTCTCTGGCAGTTCTTTCATTGATTCATCTGTACCGGTTTCTTCACTACCTTTGAGAACATTTTGATTGGCTACCTTGAGTAGGTTAGGCGCTTTAGGATGTGGCACTCCCTGTTGCTGCCTCATCATTCGTCCATAGTTTTGTTAGAAACACCTTTGTTGGGTTCTAGTCATCTCATCGAAGGGTACTGCACTTCCTGCATTATACTGGAACGAATGCCATACATTTGGTCGGCGAGATTGCGGCCTGAATGTTCTCCCATTATCTACTGGCCTGAACTGCCTTTCAAAAGGCGATCCTCTATAGAATGATGTACCTCGCCCTCTACCAAGTTGAGTGTTTGGGAAGAAGGTAGGGTGATGGGGATGCTGTCATATCCCTGGTTTCTCCGTGTTCCCACTCACTTCTCTTTTACATCTTGCACACAGGACGTCTTCGTCCTTTTTTGGCTCTTTTCCCTTGATTCGTTCAAAGACACTGGGATGTGATCCAGGGTCCTCTTCTCCATTATCTATGACCAACTTGAATTTTGACAACTTGTTTTTGAAATCAGACGTCACCATGTTCACTCCAAGTGGCTGTGGAAAAGGACTTTCATCCACTGCCATCCTCTTCTTATCGTCGAACGTAATTCGTCCTGATTCAATGGCATCCTGCAATACATGGCGAAAAACCAAGCAATTGTTAGTCAAATGTGACCATGCATTATGCTACTTACAATATTTTTTACCCTTAATTTGTTCAGGGTTTGGCAATTTATGCTTATCGCTCAGCTTTATCTACTTATCCCTATATAATTTATCAAATATAAGGTCAGCTTTGGTTACATCAAACGAGAACGTTCTAGCCTTTATATTTCCATCTTTCATGGACTCATCTTTGCCCGATGGTCTAGTCTTAGTCATTATAGGACAAGTATACGTGTCTCCTTTGACTAATTCGGCCAAACACATTTCGGCTTGGTCGTATGACTCGTCGCTGATGGTATGAACGTCAAAATTTGGGTCTTTGTAATAATTCCCTTTACTAGAATTTTTCATTTGCTCTTCTTCTCTTATTAGTCGTTCATACCTAATCACATTCGCACTCAACTGGAAAAGGTCAGGAAATTTTTTGTCTAGGAATTTCTTTTTTAAATCAAAGCTCAAACAGCCCTGAGCGATTTTGACAAATTCTTTTTCGGGTAGAGGTACAAAACACTTGCTTCTTGCTGTCTTGAACCTTTGTAGAAAACTTTCTGCCCGTTCGTTTGGCATTTGACGTAGATTCGCCAAATCAGCCAAAGTGACTTCAGACTCAGTTTTATAAAACTGAGCGCGGAATAGCTGTTCCAATTGTTGCCATGTTTGAACAGACTTCGCTGGCAAGTTGATGAACCAGGAGAAAGCTACTCCTGTTAATGAATTAGGGAAAAACCTCATTTTATGGTAATCAGTTACATCACCACTTTGCAATGTGAATCGCCCTATGTGTTCTAGAGTAGACACCTCTCCTAAACCGGTAAACAGTGAGAATTCTGACACTTTATACCCTCTAGGCCATGGATATGCTTGGTCTACCCAATCAGGATATGACTTTGTGTAAGTCGGCATAATGACAGGACGCACCCCAAAAGCCATCTGATCCTATACGATTTTCATAATCTGATTCCTCAACATGACGTTGGGGTCATATGAAATTCCTATAGGTTGGTTAACCGGTTGATTTGCATGAGGCCTGATGTTTGGTCCTTGATTGGCAACAAAGTTACCATGATTAGGGTCATTACCATTAGCCTGAACATCTATTCCCTCATTAACACGTGGGGTATTCTGTCCATTGTTTGGGACATTATCTCTTACATTTGGATTACCACCCAAGTTAGGCGTACCACTACCATTGTTCTGATTTGGCACTGTACCACCCCCTTGGTTTGAGGTAGAGAGACCAAAAAGTGGTTCTACCCCTTGATTCGGATTTAGGACTGATGGATTATGTCCCACAATTGTCCTAGTTTGAAAGTGGTTTGCAAGAGGTATAACCGATTGACATATTTGGCCTACTAACTTATTCATTGTTTCATTCAAAGTGTTTAGTTGTTTGGCCATGTTGTCATAATGTGCATTCCCATTTTGGATAAATCTTTTCATATTATGAATACTTCGAAGATTTACCTGTTCAACGACATCTTGTGTGAGTTCTCCAAGTAGTGCACGCATGGTTCGAGGACTCAATTCTGTCATTGGTTCATAACGACTGTTACTGCTCTGATTCTGTCCATCTGTTCGTGGAGAGGCATGCTGCTCCTCATATCGCTCGATCACAGACTGAACTCCTCCTTGACTTGCTGCTTCTTTATCGGATCTTTGAGACATATTGTTTCACCTTTTGTATTTTCAACACCAAACATCACTGTCCCACTGGGCGTGCCAAATTGTTTCGCGGGTTCGTCGCTAACAATTAAAATGGATCAGACGATTGTGTAAAGGACAAACCTCTTGAGACAAAGTCCCAAAAAGGGGTGTTCTTTATTGGCGATGACTTTACAATCGGAAATTAAAAACAAAATGCCTCCAAGGGGCGCAAGCACACGAGTTACTGAAAGAAATGTTTAATTCTAAGCTAAGAAATTTAAAAGTACATGTTCTTTGTTCGAGAGTTTTTTGATTCGGGGTGCTTTTGCTTTATGTCTTTTCTTCTTTTTATACTCCTTGGATGATCTCTTTGTGATCAACCGCCTAAAAACTGCTTAATCGTTCTATAACTGCCCACTTTCCTCGTAATGGCCAACTTTGCATGGAACTGCCTTTATTAACTGTTGTCATTACTCTTTGTCGTTCAACCGTCTTCAATTGAATTCCTTGAATCGTGAAACGTGATGGGGCTGCTTAATAACTGCTTTGATAACTGCGCTTCTTGATAACCATAACACTTCATGTTTGCTAAGTCCTTGGGCGACTCGAAGGTTTGGGCGAGAATAGAGTAGCAGCTCTGGGCGACTGCATGGCATTTCATTCGCTCAGATCCTGGGCGACTTACAAGTTTGGGCGATGGTGTTACAGCGTTCACAGGCCTCCCTATTTGGGCCTTCATCCTGAATCGTCTGATTGGGCTTCATTCTTTGGGTTATCTGATTTGGGGATCTTTCAATTGGGCTTTATTCCTTGGGCCGTTCGATTTAGGGCTGAATTTTTATGTGTCAACACTTCCATTGAATTCAATCTTATATACTTTCTTTGATGACTTAAAAAGAATGAATTCAAGATTTCATCTGTTTAAACTATGTAATAGAATAATAATAAGATCCACTAATTAATGATACCAGCATTATAAAAAATTAGCACCTTCTAACATGTTTGTTCGTCCAGGATTTTCTTTTTTTTGTTTATAATCTTCGTTGTTCTTCTAACCATGGAATCTGTTTGACTCCATTTTCTTGCACTTGTTAATTTAAGCTGATCCATGTACAGTATGAATATGGGAAATGATGGTGATTATGATTGGGAGAAAGAAGTGGAGGAGTTTGAAAAAACAAAAGCTGGTGTCAAAGGACTTGTAGACTCCGGGGTTGTAAAAATTCCGAGGTTCTTCATTGATCAATCTGAGAAATCGAGCAATGTCGCTCAGCTACAGATCCCGGTTATAGACTTTCAAGAACTTACAACTCGACGAATGGAGATTGTTGAAGAGATTCGTAAGGCATCTGAAATTTGGGGGTTTTTCCAAATGGTTAATCATGGAGTGCCAATGAGTGTAATGGACGCCATATTAGAAGGCACGAGAAAATTCCATGAACAGCCAAAGGAGTCGAAGATGGAGTACTATTCCACAGACATGATGCGAAAAGTGAAATTTTATACCATACTGGGAACTTTGCAAAAATCCCATGCTGCAAGTTGGAGGGATGCATTTTCTTGTACATTCACCGATGATATGCTCGACCCTGCTGCTATACCACCAATTTGCAGGTTTGTACACTGTTCGATTCAAAATGTCTCTTGATTATTTGTTATTAAAATTTGTTATTAATTTCTTGCAGAAATG